TACACGGAGGAGGCAAGTATCGATCTTCTCGAACTCGATACAATTACGGACTATATAGGAAGTTCAGAAGTCACGTTTCTCGTGTACGTTTTGTCACGTTTAATGGGGAAAGCTTGTTATCGAGACCCTGGCAGGCGATTAGCTGAAAGTGGAAGGTAATTTCAGCAAGCTTACGCTTTTCTGGTCCTTCATTTTCGCCTTTTTTTTTTTTTATTACTTCGAGAAGATTTCGTGTATTTTGTAGTTTTTAGAGTGTCTGACGTGGGAACAGTTATTGTTAACAACTTTGCTGTGATCAACGACTCGCAGGCATTTTCAGAAAATGAGAGAAAACGTTAAACATTGATTACATTAGTAAATGATTACTCGTGAAGTTGTGTAACAAAAATATATTTATCTAATCGATAATACTTAAACTAATTTTAAATGTAAGGCGATACGATGCGCGTGCAAAGAAGGTCTACGACAAAAGGCCTCGTGCCTTTTTCGGGGCTCCCTTAAGTAGCCCCTTTTCCCTGGAAAAGTCCCAGGAAGTGGGGGCGCGGGCCTGCATTGCCGAGGCAATACTCTTGTCCTTGAGGACGAAGAAACTCGGAAATGTTTGGAAAAACATCTCTCGATTCTTCGCCTCGAGTGCCAAGAGTCGCCAGGCCTAAGTGCGTGGCCCCTCCGTGACGGTCGCCACAGTAATTTATTTAGCAATAACATTTCGTCCTTTTTAACTTTCTTCCTGGGAGTCTCCCTCGAGTTAAATATTCGACGCTTTGGACGAGCCTCACGCGGGATAAACTGTCGAAGGGTTAAAGCAGATTTCACGTATTTCGTGGTTTTCATAAAATCTAATAGGAATTTGTTCGATACGTTTTACCCGCACAATTTTTATACCTCCCACTTTTCAGCATGATTCATGCACATAGTTTTCTATGCAGTACGTTCTCTAAATTCTGCACATTCTTTATACTCTCTAATTAGGTATTTCATATCCTTTATACTTCTTAAATTCTTCACATTCTCCACATTCCTTGTACACTATACTCTGCTTATTTCCCCTGTAATTTCTCTCTAACCTAATTACTCTCCCTTTAATTTCCGCCCGGTCTATTACTTCTAATTTCATTCGCCCTTTTTTTAACTCCGTTAATTAGGAAATTACGTTACGAGTTTCACGTTTTCTTCAGGAAATTCGCGAGCCATGCACGCTTCGTTTCAACGGTTCCTTGATAAATAGAATATCGTCAGAACTTTTTAATACTCATACACCCGAAATCTTCCTTACCTTTTTTCTCAAACGAAGAAAAAAATAATTACAGATAGTTACACATTCGGACAATTATTTAAATAATCGTACTTTCCTGTTCGTTTGGATAATTCTTCGTTTCACTTCCGGGGAATCATTAGCAGGAAGTTCTGGCAGCGGCGAGATTGAATGAAATTAAAATTCAGAAGTCAGTTACAAGTTATCAATAGCCAGGCGAGCGGTCTCGAAGAAAAATCCAAGAGAGTTCGTTTAGTTAACGTTGAAACAAGCGTTCCATTTCGTCGAGTGTACAATTTGTGCGCGCGTAGTGTTTTAATTGGAAACGGAATCATTCGCCAAACTCTCTCTCTCTCTCTTTAACCCCGCGTCAATTCGAGGAGAAATTATTTCTGCGCTACGCTGAAAAAAAAGAAAAGAAAAACGTTATCTCTTTTATTCGAAGAGAAGCAAACGAAACGATGCGGATATAAAACGAAAGGTGGATTAAACTGAAAGACGTACCCCTCTAAAACGCGATACAACGTTATAATTAGCGTTGATTTAACGGCCGGGAATATTTCATCTACGGCCGTTTACGTAATTGTGCAAATTATTCAATTACACGTCAATATACAAGGAAAGGAGCACACGTTTAATACTTCCACGAATCTTGGCCAAATTAAACGGAGAAATTAATTAACGTTCGATCGTCAACCTAACCTAACTTAACCTAAGTTCTGCATCAACGAACTCGTTGAATTTCACCTGGCGAAAGTATGTTCCTCGTTCCGGTGAAATGAATTAACGAAATTACTGGCGAAAGAGTTACCCTTGGGAAAAATAGATTTGAAAGAAATCCATCGACGATAATCCAAATAAACATTCGCGAGAAAATTCAATAATTGTGGAATTCTTTTTATCCTCGTAGAAATATCCTTTGTTTCCAAGAAATGTTCGACGTCTTACTTCCATCTCTCGTTCGATTTCTTCCTCTAAATAACTCGATCCAGTAATGAAAAGAAGAACATCCGAGATCGAAAGAAATTCAACTTGCCTCGAATTCTCGTTCGAGCAAAAGTACACAATCTCTCCTTCCATAATTAAAGGAAAAACTCGAAAAAAAATAGAAGAACCCCCGGAGAGTCGTTTGAAGAAACCTTGTTGAAAGTGGCGAAAGTTCCCTTATCGATGAAAAAGTGTTTCCAGTTCGATCAAAATTATTTTCCTTCCCGATCGGCAACAGTCGAAAGGTCTCGTCGTAAGTTCCCCGACGAACGGAGAAACCTTTTAGAGAGGGGCCAGATGATTCCTAGCAAGCTGTGGCCCCCTTGCACAGCACGCTAAAACTTTCGAGACTTTTGTAAGTGCATTAACTTGAAGACTGCACGTATGTACGTACACGTCAACCCCTCAACTTTTCCATAGGGTATGTTTCATACGTACACACCGTTGCATACAGGGTGGCCCACTAATTCTCTCCGTCTGAAGTCATTTTTTGAAAGATGGACGCGTAGAAAAAATCTGCAAGTCAATTTTGTGGTGGTCAAATTAAGTAGAGTAGCGAATTCTGAGTGTAAAAGTACTGAAGTACATTTCTGAAATATTCCACTTTGCCAGAATCAGAATTTTGGTTTATCCGTATTTTGAATTTGGATGTGTAATTTATATAGACGAAGTTAAACGAAAATCGAGAAATATTTCAGGAGAAAACTTAGCAAGAATGTTATAATTTTTAATATATTATTTTTTTAAATTGACTTTACTCAAATTCGAGGTTTGAAAATACAAATTTCACCACTTTAACTACCCCTAAGGGCGATCTTCACGCCTACAATATGGACGATTTCTAATAAAAAAAAAATACATGTCGAATATTTTTTGAGGAACTATCGCATACCAAAATTTCGTCAAAATCGGTGGTGATCATCTTGAGATGTTCCACTTTTATACTCAGAATTCGCCATTCTATCTACATTCCACTACAAACAGTTGGACATTCTGTTAAGAAAAAAAAGGATCCTGAGGAAGCGTACACCTAACGTTTGTAAGTAACGTTTCCGCTTAATTCTCGAGGATACCGTAATTAGCGAGGATATTTCTGGTGCACCGAGTTGGCGAGACACCCGGTATGCAATTTATACGCGCGCACATAGGGAGTCTGGGGAAACGGGAATACAAGAAACTCTCGTCGCTACACTCAGACGCCACGTAGGCAAATATGGGCCACCTTGGATGCATAATCCGCGTAAATTGCTGCCATCTCCAAGTGCATTGCAGCAGCGTGTCGATGGCTGCGCGACGTTCTCACCCCCTATTTCGACGGCTACGTTGCGGCAACGTGCTTATTTTTGGTGTGCCACCACCGAGTGCCATTTTGCCGAAGCGACTCATGGAGTGGGAGAGATTTGTGAATACGAATGGACCGATTGTGCATGCTGCAAGTGGGTTAAGGTGGCTGGATACGAGTGTTTGTGTACTTGCCGGCTTAAATTTCTCAAGTTTGCAAGATTTGCTTGGAAGAAGAGTAAAAATCTTCTCTTTTGGAAGAAAGAGACACATTAGTTCATGGAGAAAAAGTAATTCTATGGAGAAAATATGTTTCTTTGGACAAGGTAAATTTGTTTCGAAAAAATCATCGCTGAGAATGTGCAAATAGTGTTTTTAGTTTGGACACCAATTCGTTGGAAAAGCTAGAGAATTAGCTAAACTTTTTTCTAAGATAATTAAAATTCGTTAGATTTGATAGTAATCTACAAAAATTCACTTTCTTCGAGATTTAATTTCACAAAGGGTAGTTGTCGAAATTTCGATCGTTGCAAGATGCACACGAGGTACGACAAATCAATTCCGTTCGTTATATCAGACACACGATTTACCAAGAAGACGTAACTTGCATGGAAGATGAATTTAACCGAGTGAAGTGTAACTGCGAAACTCTGCGAGTTATTACAAAGTTGAATGCCTCGCCCCATCAATATTAACACGCGCCTCGCGCTGTGCCAACCGAATTCCTTCGTAATTACTTGTTCTGGAAATAATTTCCTCGCCGCAATACGCAAGTACGCGATTCCTCGAAACTACCTCTGTATCGCGGCGAATAGTGCACAAATGTACATATTTTCATCGATATAATCGTGCAGTAGCTCGTCAAATTGTTTAAATACCTTTAGAATCGACGATTCAGATGATTAGTATTCTCTATGCAAACGAGTCCATGAAGATTTCAGTTATCATTTTTCAGCTATAATTCTCGTACCTTTCAATTCTCCATTTCTCATTCTAACTCGTGAAGCTTCGATACTTAACTTTGAATTCAAAATTATCGACCACTCGAAATTCTACATTCCCCCTAAAAGATTTTCTATTCTTCCCAAAAATAATCTCCCCAGACAACCACCGTGGCTCCAATTAGCAGAGTAATTTCATTATAAATCCGCATTTCCTAATACACAATCACCGAACACTCCAGCTTCCAGATCCCCCTAACGATTTTCTATTCTTCCCAAAAGAACCTCCCAATCCTCCACGAAATAATCTGCTCTGAAACCCGCCGTGGCTCCAATTAACCGAAAAATTTCGGGGTAAAAATTCGCGGGATATCACGAGGCTACCCGGGTAGAAAGAGATAGCGAAAAAAAGAAAGAAGAGATACGCAGGAACATATAGAAATGAGCGTGTGGATAAAGGCGTCGGTGAAAGTGGGCGAATTATACAAGGGCTTTCTACGGCTGCGTGAACCATGCTGTTCTGGATTTGATTGCAGGGCTTGTTTGCGAGGATTACCTTCCGCGAGCCGTTGTTCGTCGGCGGCCCCGGAAACACAACTGGCCTCGAGCGACTTCCGGTGAGGACCGGATTTAAGGGCTGCATCCGGCATCTGGAAGCCAATGAACACCGGTATCGTTTCCCCCTCGCGCCACAGGGAGACGCGGCGAATGGTTTCGACGTCGGTGAGTACAACTTACTAATTAAACGACCAGTACCCACCTACCACTTCTGCATCTCTTTTCGGAACATCACCCTCTGTTCTTTCCTGCTCCACTTCGTTCTACCGTGAAACGTTCGTGTTCGGAACTAGTTTCGCGGATGATATTTCTGGGACAACGACGCAACGCGGCGGCGAGAAGTTCTCGGGCAAATTCGAAGGGAGGAAGTAGAACTGGGATAAATGTTTCGTGTACTCTTGTTGAATAATGCTGCCGATGTTTCTTAATCTTCCACGTTCCACTTTCACGTTTGTTTAAATCATTAAGTGGAGATACTTTTGTTTGATTAATTGTTTTATCTTTGATGCATACTTAATTGCAATTCTTGTGAGAACAGAGTTCTACTGTTGAAGGGTTGCAAAGCGTAATTCAGTTTTCAGTAGGAGATCTGTTGTACTTAACAGGAAGGTGGTGTATTTATGATAGAGAAGAAATGTAGAAATGAGTATTTTGAGCATTCCTTGGTACAAAATAATTTCTTCTTCTTAACTCTTCACAGTTGAGTGAAGAATCCTTCAGTATCAACTGATACAGTCAGAAATTTCGCCTAAATATCTAAAAAAATCTCACAATCTCTTATCCTGTGCATTTCGATCGTTACATTGACTCAATTACTTCCTCACAGAAGTGCGTTCTTCAGTCAATCTTCTTTCGAAGACTTAACACAGCATCTTCGACGCGTCTGCTCCCCGACAGGCCAATTTTTCACACTCGAACGCTTCACACACCCAATCTAACACGCAAAGCAATCAGTCAAAGCGTGGCGTCGATTAAAGTTCCCGCGTTTTCTTATCTCGGTAGACCGGAAACGGGCCGAGACCGGGTCTATCGACTGCCAAATCTCCATTGAACCTGTTCAAAGAGATACGTATAATCCCTCGGAGCGTAACCTCTCGGGAGATAGCTTTTAAGAGCGTGCACGGTTTTCTGTGCGGACGATAGACGATCCCGACCACTCCCTCGTGCGCGTCTCTATTCTCGCACAGAATGCACAATGCATCAAAGAAGCACATTCCCCGTACCGATGAATTTTTTCGTCCTCGCGGGCTGCTGTCGTTGAAAAATCGAGGAAACGGACAGCGAGGGCGGCAAATGATGTCAAAGCAAATCGTCCGCGTTCTCTCTCCCCGTTCGTTTCGAAAATATTTTTCTGGAGACAAGTATTCTCTTCTTATGCTTGACGAAACGAATTATTTTCACCAGCCTTTGTTCCTGACAAGTTCGTGGAGAAGAATGCGATTTAGAGTCGAAAATTGAATCTTAATAATATATTTTTTTAAATAATCAATCAAAAATTCGTCATTAATTTGAAACGGAGTTTTTTACATTTCTCTGCCTTTGTCGTATATTTACAATTGTAGAAGAATCCTGTTTGTCGCAGTTTTGTGTATAATGGATGAACGAACTCTTAGGAAAACTGTATTTTTTTCAATTTTGACTAGTAAATTAATTATACTATCGTATTTTAATTTTTATTGGTGAAATAGGTGTCGTTTCGTTTGGAAAATGTCGCGTTCGGAGGGAAAGTGAATTCTAGAAAGTAAGAGCGTACATGCGGTGGAGCGTGTGAAATATAAGTGCAATAACGTGAGATTACTTTAGCATATTGACTCGTGGTAAATCGCAATACCAGTCGACAATAATCGCGACGATAAAATACCGTGGTCCATAATTAGGCGTTTCAGAGTTACATTTTGTTTGGGCGGAGGAAGCTGTGCTGTATCGACTGCTCGAATTAACTCCTATATCTGTGTTCACAACAGGTGTCACATGAATTTAGTTAGGAAATCCTCCAACGTTCGCTCTATACGATCTCTCGATTTACCGAAAAATGTCTTCTGGCACAAGTTTTTCCTTTACCTTTAACGAAGTACTAATTCACAACCCCTGAAAATACGAAATAAAGAAATTCAATCTGCAGACTTGTTAAAAATTAATTTAAAGTTCCACATCACAATGTTCTGTGAAATTTTCAGAATGTGAGATCATTCTTTTTTTTGTTTTACCATTTAAAAAATTTTTCTGGAGTGCTAGGATCACTCTAATGTCAACAGAAAATAAATTAGAACAATTCCAACACTCTACAAAAAGAAACAAATTTTTCGACTGGAAGTTGTTAATGTTATTAATATTTTAAAAATTATTTCGTGTCGATAAATGCTCAAAATGCTCGTTTCTACGACAATAATTGAAAATAGGTCTCTTGGTTTTTCGCTTCTCCTGAACATGTTACTTTCTCGTTCTTGATTATAGATCTAGACTATCGATCGAACTCTTCAATTGTAAACCGATCAAATAGCTAGAGTAACGTGTAATTCGACATAGACGATTTTGAACAACGGAACATACAGTATGATCTCGATTTTGTGTTGGGCATCTAATGATTACAAGTTTCACGTGAACCCGCAAATTCGACGGCATCGAATTCCAAGGAATAAAATTGCCGGATTTCAAATATTTCGCTAATTTGAAATTAAACTCAAATTTAAATATTATACTTCACCGTAGAAATGTAATAAATATTTAAAAAAAAACACACCTCGATATTCCTTCAAATATTTAGCGAACCTGAAATTAAACGTGTTTACTTTTACATGAAATTTAAAATGAGAGAAAAATTAAATTTCACCGTAGATATAAATGTAAAAAACAAACACTAATATTTTATCCTCCGCAATTCCACGAAATTGAAACTATCAATATTCGAAGCGACGAAAATCCTTCATTAATAAAAGAACACATGCAAACCTGAACAATGTACTCATCCTCGACACTTTTCTACACTTTCACATTCTAAAAGATTCTAAATGTGGAAAAAGACACTAATGTTCCATCATCACAATCATCCAAAATCCATACAATCCTCCGCAATTCCACGAAATTGAAACTGTCGATATTCGAAGCGGCGAAAGTCCTGTATTAATAAAAGAACACATGCAAGCTTGAACAACGTTACATTCTCCTCTCGTTTCGCTAAATCACATTCTCTCGCCCGGCAAAATACGAGGCAACGGCGAAGTCACCGGAAATACCTCCGGTTCGACATCTCGAGGCGGCTGAAAAATTCACTGCCGCCTCGAAACTGGACGGCCATCGAACGAACGAACACCCGAATTCCTTCGTTCTTTCGCGGCCATTGATTAACGTAACACCCACGGAGGTTGGGATCGGTGGGAATTCGTTAAATGAAATTCTGCGCGGGTGTACGTTTTCCGTAATTAGTTAACGATCAAATTCGGGACAAGCGGTTCGCAGCCGGTGTCTCGATGCGAATCGAGGGCCAGCGTTAATTATCAAGTGTTAATCAATTACCCGATGATCGTTGAACGGGGGTATCGAGATTCCTTCGGCAAACAAGCTGAATGGCCTGTCATCCTGCGAGCGTTTTTACTCCTCGACGGTTCAGGTAAAATGAACCCCCCGGAAAGTCCATCGTCAAAGGGAAGAGTAATTATTATACACGCTCGTTATGGACAGTCACCGCGTGGTGAATTCGGTTCTCGAGGATTTACAGCGAATTTAGTTAGATATCAGTGGTTCTAAAACTGGGTGCCGCGAAATTTTGAATAGTTTATATGTAAAAAGCCAAATTTATACTTTATAATAACTTGTTTTGTATGTTTTTGTGCTATTTGGAAGTAAACTAACTTGCTTTAAATAACTTTTACTTTTTCCAAATACGTCTCATCCTTCATACCTTTACTAACTGTAAAAAGCAAAAAAATAGTAATAATAATAATAGGGGTGCCGTGAATTTTGTTTAATGATGTCAGTGTGCCGCCAGACAAAAAAGTTTGAGAACCACTAAGATAGTAACAAAGGATCGATTGAAGAAAATGTTTGTTTCTTTGAATTTTTTTTTTAAGTAGAAAATGAATGAGAAATTTATTGTGGAACACTTACGCAGTGTAATTTTGGAACGAGCTATCCACATAAGAATTGAAAAATTAGGTTTAGTCCTGTGTTAATCTAATGAATTTTTTCCCCAGTTCAATTTTTGGCGGTGTAAACTATTTATTTGAAATTTAGCAACAGCAAGAATCACAGCATTGTGAAATTGAAGTTTGTGATCAGAATAAAAATTAGAGCGTTGGGTTTGTCAGATCCCGAAAGAATAATTCTGGATTAATTGAGTATTCATCATTTTTTTTGTAAATGAACAAATATACCGATATTTCCACCGGTTCCTTAAAAATTCAAATCTCCTAATACAACATTGAAACAGTTCTACAAAAATGGTCGATGTCGCGTACGTCGAAGAGCGAAGAAGTATTTGCTATCCGAGGTACTCCGCGGAAATTATTCAGTCTACAGCGCTCGCAGCGAACGCATCTCGAGCTGAAGGGTTTAATAAAAATTGTAATAAAGGCACGGCACAGGGTATAAATGTTTAAACATAGACGTGGGTAAGAATTAATGTGTGACATTCGTCATTTCCAAGAAAATTTACCTCTCAGACCACCGTGGTAGCAAGTTTCACGGCGGTAGAATTGCACGAAGGTAAAAAAGAATCCCCGTGAAAATTGAGGTAGAACGAACTTCCTTATCCACACTCGTTACGAAAGAAAAATCGAGTTTTAGGGAAGAGAGAGAGAGAGAGAGAGAGAGAGAGAGAGGTCTTCTGTGTGGAAAAATTCTGAAGAAATTCCACCCCGTACGTTCTGAATAATCATGAGAAATACAATTCCCCTCGTTCCTACACCGAAACCTGCGAGAATTATAAAGTACAGGCGAACGTGTGAAAAATAAAATAACCAATCTACAAACACTCCGTTCGACTACAAAATACCTGTGTGTAACGCGAGATTGCAAAGAAGGAAAGAAGTTTTTCGCTGGATAAGCTGGTTTTTCGCGGTCGGTTAATCGAATTACTTGTTCGATATAAGAACGAGATATAATTCGAGGGAAGAAATCGCGGTGGTAAAAGGAAACTGAGGGAACGTGACTCGCGTGGACTGTGCAAT